AAGGTAGAATTCAATACAATCATTTGTTTTATAAGTGAAATCTATTCTTTATCTATTTTCAATCAGATCTAAAAAAAATTAAGAACTTACAGTAAAAAATATGTATTCATAGTTTCCGTATTAAGAAGGCAATGGCAATTAATATGCAACAAGATGTTAATGAAGAAAAAATGGTTATAATTTATAAAAGAATAATCTGTGCGATAGACATTCATCGCAAAGCTACAGAGTCAGTACACATTCTGCAATATCTGTATAACGTGATCTAATAATTTTTGTTCTATTTCTGAAGGTTTTCTCAAGTGTTTATAAAAAGTTTTGAAGGATCTTTCTTCTGCTTAATAGCGGCTAGTATGGTTTGCTTAACCAGCACTCTTGTGCAAGTAAGTTTTATTTTTTGTTATTAAACGTGCGTATCTTTCCATGAAAGATACAGTTTTCATAATATTAGGATTAAAAAAAGAGTCTTTAATTAGTATCGTATAGAAAAATAACTTTCTTCAAAAATAAAAATCATTCAAAAACTCATGATCATTCTTCGTTCACCTCTTTTTTATAATCGCAAGATATGTGCATTATTCGCATACCTATATCACAAAAATAATACAATTTTCCAATATCCAAGAAAGAAAATAATTTATTATGTAATGCAAGTTCCATAATTTGTCCTAAGGAATTACAGAAAAATTACAAAATTTCTTGCAAAAAACTAAAATACATATATAACATACGTATCATATTTTTTAGATCATATCATATAATAGTACAGAGCAACTTGTATTAGGACTTAGAAATATAAGTATCCTCTATGTATACATGTTTTTGTCTAATTATATCGCACAAGATATTACAGATCACAATGAATACGTATTTGCTACAGTGTAAGAGACATTTGTATCGTAAATTAATACTTAAGTGATTGTTTTATAATTTCTTGTAATAAAAAGCTGAGTTAACAAAAATAATACTATTCTTGAACAAATATAATATAACAATTTATATTATAAAAAATATATTTATTTTTTTATGTTTTAATTAATTTATCATTGATTTGTAGATATGATGTTGAATGGTATGTGGCTCCGTTACACATACAGAAAATGATGTTATTTCTACTGCAAAAGGGTACAAAAGCTTTTCATTTGATTCTCGGTGGAATATTCATTGCGTCTATGGAAAGTGCTGCTACGGTAAGAGACATATACAAATCTTTTGTTCCTAGCGAATATTATTGTTTAATCGAAAATAATAACATTCACAATCATTCAACATTTTGACTACTTTAGAATTATTTAGGTAATCAACTAAAGTAACTCTATTAAAATAAGTTGAAAATGAAACGTAAATTAGCTGAGCTGAAAGAAATAAAATAAAAAAGAGCGAAAACTGTTAAATTGATACTATAAATTCATTTGGTCGCTTAAGAATATTATACAATAAGTCAACGTTCCCCATTTGAAAATATATTGATGGATTAATCCGAAAAAATGGATAATTTAAATAAATAGGGGGAAGTGACCTATACACATTCCTTATCGTTTAAATAAAATTGTAACAAAAGCATCGAAGGGAGCAGAACATTTGTGTAATTAAATTAAACTTTGGTTCATTAGAAATAAGACGATACTTTTACGAAAATAAGCATTAAATTTTTATTTAAATCATGAATTTTTAAAAAAAGTTTATCTTTCGATACGATTTGGTGATCGGATCCTGACATTGTACCACTTTCTAAATCATACCGCGTGTCCGGGGACGGAGGAAGAGAATGGACGGAACTCTCCGCAATCGTTAATACATATATGTTCGAAAGATTACTGCTCTCCTCCCCCCACGTAAAGGCAAAGTGAATTTTTTTAAAATTAAATCTCGCTTTGCCTGCAAACCTATGTAGAACCGCGCTTCACATGGAAAAATGTAAATCCCTGAACATTGAAGGGAAAATTTTAATATTAATAATCAAACGTTAATATATCGCTGCAAGAGTCAGAAAAACGTATGCACATGTAGTGTAGAGCACGTTGATCATGAAGATGTATTCCGCAGCTGTGATAGATTTTCTAACTTCAATATAGTCGAGTGTTAACTTTAACACTTAATATCTCGTTTCGCAGAACAATCCCGCATTTTTTTCTGTCAGATTTTTTTATTTTATGGAAAAACGCATCAAATGAGCTAATTTCATCGAAATCGGAAGTGTGGTAATTCTTCTGGATAATTACCAATATCAATTTATATATTAAAACCTTATTTTTCTCAGTTCTTATATTCTGCAGAGTCTTTTTGCGTTATAGGTATTTTAATTCTTCACGACTGATGCTAATCAAACGTAATCTCACAATGCGTACGAGCCGTGAGGAGATAATGAGAGCTCGCGTCGCTTGTAAAAATCGTACCGGTACAATATAAAGACCAGTGACAAGGATTTATCCAACTCACTCTATTTTTACAAATTTGCAATAGCAACAAAACTAACAAATATTTTGCTAATTTTATGAGATACTCGAATAGAATTTAAATATCAATTATTACCTATAGTACACTAAGATTCATTCACCACCTTGTACTGATAGCACTTTAAAAAAAATTGTAAAAACTTAAACCAAACAAAATCAGTTTTGAATGTTACTCGTACACAGACGGCACAAAGACATAATAAAAATGGCAGTTCTTAAGCCATGTGACTAGCATTACATCATCGTCATTACTCTTAACAAAAAATGTTTCGTTTAGAAAATACAATGGAGAGTCAACTTAACCAATGATACGGCTTATCCAACTCACCCTATATTGTCAATCCATTATTTTAACAGACATTCTCCACACAGCTTCAATATAGCTTCTTACAGATTAAAACAAAAGAAGATATTTTCATTACAGTTGATGGGTACTTCAATATCTTACTTCACTGTTCTGTATTCTACAAGTACGAAATAATAATTGTAAAATAATTGAGACAGGTATGTATAAAAGTAAAAAAGATATGAGAAAGTAAGGGAGAGAGAAACGAAAAAGAAGAAAAATGTAAACTAATTTGACTAAAATCGTTTAGCCCTCAATTTTAGGTGTCGCTTGCTGTAAGTAAAGTTTCAATTCGAAAAAAAGGTAAAAATTAATATTTAAACAAAAAATCGTACATATTATAAAGTATAATATTTATGTAAAAAAATACAGAATTTAAAATTGACATTATATTAACAAAAGTCACAACATTGAAATATATGTGTTAGGTAGGGTCGTGCCGCGCACCTGCGAAGTCTATTATCGCACGATTCCCTTGAATAAAATATGTATTTCTTTATGGAAAATAAATATCTGTTGCATTATTACTATAATCATATCGATCGCTTAACCATACACCTTTTCCAGAAAAGTGAATCACCATCATGTGTTTTTTTATCCGACAATAATATTTCCTCTACATTATATTTAAATTAAAATAGGCAATTCAGCTTAAAATTTACATAAAAATATATATCATTGTATTTCAAACACGGTAATATCTTTAATTATAATTAAATAATTCAATGATTCGCATAATAAACAAAATATTAAGTTCCAATTTGTAGCGATTTGAATAATGCAACGAGATGTATCAGAAAACACAATAGATTTTTCATATTACTGTAATCTTTTTATTTATAAGAATTCAATGTTAGTATCATCGAAGATATATTATTATAATATCATATATCATAATAAAAATTAAAAAAAGTTTAATTTGAAATCATATCAATTCTTCCGTTGATTTTATACGTACATTAATTTATTATACATATTTAGAAAGAGCAGATCTTGGAGAATTTTCTTACTGAATGAAAGAAATTCTAATTTTAATATAATACGAGGTAAAAAATGATTTTTTACTGTTTAGAATATTTATGACTCTAAAAAGCAGGTTTACTTAAAAATGTTGTCTTTTGGTATATTATTATTGTACTATTTACAATCAAATATAATTCGTTTAGTATTAAAATAAAAAGTGTATGAGTAAAATAATTATTTATATATGTTATATGTTGTACTATAAAAGGTCACACAAAAAATTCCTGGAATTAATTTGTAACACAAAATAATAATTAATTTTACAATACAGAAATAATTAATTTTACTTACATTTATATAAGATTTCTTTAAAAATAGTTCCCTTTTAAAGTTATAAAGTTTTCAGTCGACGGGGAGGATAAATTATCAAATTATCACTGATTTTCGCAATCAAGTTTTGTTCCTCGTAGAATGAAGATTTGTATCGAGTATAAATATTTTCATCTCAATCGGATTCTCTTACTCGCTCTTGGCTTATGATCATATTATCGATCATATCCCGTTCGAATTGGGATAATCGTGTATTTTCGAATTCAAATAAGTTATATCATTTCCTATGTTAATATATTCTATATTATATGCAGGATATTTAATTATATTATATATACATATATTTATTAAGAATGTATGGGTACCCGAATTTCACGATAAAATTTTTTATTCGAGACCCGATATCAATTCGGTACAATATTTTTCTGATCACTCCTAAATTTTTAAGTTTAGAAACGTTTCCATATGTATCATGTAATTAAATGCAAGAATTTATAAAGAAAAAAATCAATTTGTGAAAAATTGTTTTATACTAAATTGAACTGTAGAAAGTATAACTTTTTGACGATTTCTGATATCAATTTTTTAATCCCGTATTTACTTCGTATAGCCGCAATGTTAACAGCATCAGCAAACAATCGTCCGCTTGAGACTTCAGTTGCAGGAATAACGAGATAATGTCTAGTTACTGCTGCTAATATCAGGAATGATATATTTCCACAAATCAATTGTGTCGGTTCGTTTATATACTATAATCTCTGCAAAACTCTATGCCTTTATTTATTTATATGTGAAAAATGCAAATAAATTTGATTCTTTTACCTTTTTGGATCATACAGAGCTTCGTGAAAAAACTTCGTTAATTTATATTACAGTTCACATACATAAAAAATAAAAATAAAAAGAATCATTACAATAAATGTACACTACTAAAACTAAAAAAATGTTAATTTTAACTTACAGACGTATGGTATAATTTCTAAGTCATGAATAAAATGTTAAAATCAATTTAACTATCTGCATGTCTGAAAAGAGTCCACTATACGTCATTAAAATCAATATTTTAATTTTCAAAGTCAATTATGATTAGTCAATAGTGTACGCAATTTGGAAAATGTACCGTTACACCGTTGACATGTAATAAGTGATACATGGTGACAGTATCTAATAAATTCATTTCAATTCGAGATGATAAAATATTCCACATTAAACTGTCAACAGTTCCGATTTTTGATTTCGAAAGACGATCTTTGAACGATGGATACAATAAAATGGCAATATATAATGTTAATGTTTTACATTCCATAATAGGTTCAAAACAGATCTACAAAAAAAAATTGCATTCTACACACACACACACACACACACAAATATATATATATATATATACATATATATATACATTATGTATATATACATATAAACATACATTTACTCTCTTCTGATATGAAGATAAACTCACTTTCAATGTGTTCCACAAACTATTAGAAATGTGAATTTAATTAATTTTTCCGATAAAGTATTATAAGAAACTTTTATTTAAAACATCATTGTGGATAATGATATACAAAAGATATGTAAAATATAAATAGTTCGAATATTAAACGTCACACACAAATAAAATATTAATAAGGTATAGATTTCAATACTTTTAGAATAAACAAATTTTGTTCAAACTTAAGATTAAATTTAATGATCAATATTATTTTAAAAAATCAAACGTACCTTGTGAGTGTACGCACTAGAATGAAACGCATATTACAATAAAAAGCGAGTGCGCCTGCGCGGCAATCTATTGAGTTTATCTATGCGAATGTTTTTCCATAGGATAAAAACATCTATTAAACTTCTATCAATGTAATTAAATCGATCGTTTAATCACTTTTTTCTTAGAAAACAGTGATGAATTCTAAGTACTTTAATCTCGTGATATTATTGTATTTCGCTTTGCATATTAAACAATTGAAGTTACAATTTACTAAAAGAGAAAAATTGTAACATTTTCAACCAACTGTTAGAATAATAGAATCGGAAAAAGAGAATATGCAATTTCTTATTTTTCACGCATAAATGTACTTCAGAGTTTACAAAGATGATTTGTCTTGAGACGAAACACTTCAAACTCAATAGATTTCTTTTGCTCGCGATTGGTTTATGGCCTCACCAGAGATCGAAACTTGCTCAAATTCAATTTATCGTACTTTTTACTATTTTAACAACTTTTATTGTATTTCAGGTGATAATATATCATTTTTCATAAGAAACAATAATTAACAGACTAAAATTCAAAACTTATTAATCACACTAAGGAATTATTCTTTTCATATGAAATTTTCAACAAAATTACTTATTTGCAGTTTACAACGTTTTTAACATCAAAATGCACTGTAGATCTCATTATCAATGTTCTGTCCTCCGCATTTTTCTTCATTTGGTACGCGATTAAATATCATTCGTTTTGGATTAACGCCAATACTGTAAGTCAAATATTTATTATACAATTTCTAGATAAATATGCGTGATAAATCTTCAAATATGACATTTTTAAAATATTTCATACGAAAACTGCATAAAATATTACTGATGTAATAGATGAGAATTTCCCTAGAACAACTTCAGCATGTTTGTAATGAAATAAAAAATAAAAATGAAATTGCTATCATAGAAAAGTATGGCCGTATAGGAAAACATCAAACGATAATACTTACGAGTAAGATAGTGCATATAAGCTTATCATTTTAATGAATTATTAATAAGAGTAAAAAATTTGTAAAGTTTAAATAAATTTTACTTAAATAAATTCTTGTTTCTTATACATATATGTATATCATTTACTTTCTAATTTAATGTTAGTTCTTGCCGCATGCTGCATATCTATTTATCTCTTCCTGCCAATGTGGCCTCGTATATCTGATGTAATTCTGGCTATAAACAATTCCCGATCACGCTCTGCAGCGATTCATATTGCAACAGAATACTTTGTTGATCAAGAAAAATTTTCCTATTTAATTCTTTTACATACAAACGCAGCTTTGTGCATAGGGGCAATTACAATGGTAGCAACAGGCACGATGCTAATAGCGTACCTCAAACATATTTGTGGAATGTTTAGCATTGCAAGGTAGAATTCAATACAATTATTTGTTTTAATAAGAGAAATCTATTCTCAATCAGATCTAGAAAAATTAATCACTTACAGAAAAAAATATGTATTCATATAGTTTCCGTATTAAGAAGGCAATGGCAATTAATAAGCAACAAGATGTTAATGAAGAAAAAATGGTTATAATTTATAAAGGAATAATCTGTGCGATAGACATTCATCGCAAAGCAACAGAGTCAGTATACTAGGTGTACAAGTATGAAATGCGGATTTTTTTAAAAAAAAAACATTAAATTCGGAAGAATGATAAAAAGTAGTTTATTCAAAGTATGCTCCAATGCTAGTTACACATTTTTCCCATCTTTCGGGTAATTTGGTAAGTGGATACCACGCCAGTAAAAATCATGTGAATCGACGATTTGTGAATCGTCTTCGTCAAACAATGCTTGCAATTCTACATCTTCGTACCTTTTTGACGGTTTTCCGTGTTCCTTGTCTGCAACATCGAGATCACCACTTTTCAAACGCCGAAACCATTGTTCACATCTTGCGATAGAGCATGTTAACCATAAGCTTCTCGAAGTAATCGGTATGATTCAGCAACATTTTTATTCAAATGAAAAAATTAATACTGTCCGCGAATGCTCTTTATTTGGCACAAATTTCGACATATTGAACACAGTAAAACAATATTATGCAAACACTTTTTCAATTTATCACTTATGCGCGTTTGAAACTTGTTGATGGCACAACAAAATGGCATATACGTCAAATCGTTATACTACACACTGCATTGGTGCAAATCTGTTGTCTCAAATCCGCACTTCATACTTGTACATTCTGCAATACTTGTATAACGTACTATAATAATTTTTGTTTTATTTTTGAAGGTTTTCTCAAGT